GGGTCCACGACAGCATCGAGGATACGAGGCACTCGAGGGTGTGGGTGTGGGTGGGTGTGGGTGTGGGTGGGTGTGGGTGTGGGTGTGGGTGTGGGTGTGAGTCTTTCCTTTACCAACACCCACACCCACACCCACACCCACACCACACACCACCCACACCCACACCCACCCACACCCGAAAGTGATCAGGCCAAATAGTTTAGCCTGGCCTGGCCTGGTAGCCTGGCCTGCCAGGCTTGCAGCTCTGGATCCGACAGTTGGATATGTTACTTTGATGACAAGATATTCTTAACATGCAAAGAAATCCTGCAATAAAAAAATCATCTGTTCATTCAAAACAGATCTGTACATGAAAAAATGAACTTCTTTCAAAATTGTAAACTACTTCTAATAAATCCAGTAAATAAATAAAGTTCTACGCAATGAAAATAGGCAAGACGAGTTTAGGAATATAAAACTATGAATGTCTTTAAAATAAAAACCCATTAAAGACGAAATAAAAGCATAGTAGTTAAAAAAATGTTACTGGTAGACGGATAACATATCACAGATCGTAAACATTCACTGTAGCCAATATTTGAAATATAAAATGATTTTAAACAGTAACAGAAAAACGAGTGAATCTTTATTTGAAAGAAAAAAAACGAAGAATATGTGGGAAATGAATATAATGTCTGGATGAACATTTATTAAGTATGGTGATGATGTTCAGGAACGGAATGAATTTTTTCAATTTTTCCAGCTGAACTAAATGTATAAGTTGTATGATATGTTTGATTATTATATGAAAGACGAGCGACCAATGTTTCATTGTATGGATCATCATGTTGATATTCAAGAATTTTCCATTCAGACGATGGATAAGTTTGACGTAACTTTGCATGATAATCTCGTGCTTCATCAATATTTTTATAAACGACATTGTGCTCAGCAATTTTTTCAACATAATGTTCACAAAATTTATCAAGTTCATTAAGATGACCAGCATTGAGTGATTGTGCAAATTGATCTACGATTTTCTTGTGAGCTTCAGCCATTTGTTTTAAATATCACTTTGTTTAGGAAATTATGCGAATATTATCTACAAAGAATATTTGTTCAATCGTCTAATACCTTGTTCAAAGAAAATATACCACAATATGCAGCGTGAAAACTTCTGCAATTTATGATATAAATCTTTTCATGTTTATTTTTTGTCTTAACTGACAGCATTTATACAATTGTAACTTGTTATTATGTATCTCATTATCGATCGTCTAAATTTGACCATCGATTATGACATTTTAATATGATTTATTAAGAAAATGAAATTTATCGTTTACTAGGAAATCATTTGCTTCTCGCAACGAAAATTGGTCGCATAGAATGTTCTCGATTTTGAAAATAAAATATGGATATATATAAAAAGTCTTACTTTGAAGATTATAGAGCTTTTCACGTTACATCTTCTGGTACATATTGTTTTAAAAAAATTACATCGTCAACAATTAAATATGGAAATAAAAAAAGCGACTATTTATTCTGATCCATCGTTATTTTTTATTTGAAAAAATAAGTCAGTTCTCGACGGGTGAAACGTTAACCGCATGCGTACATCTTTTCATTTACACGGCTACTACGTTTTTCCTCTCCTTTATACGGATGGATGCGAGAGAGAGAATTTTTTTCTCTATTCGGTACATATGTGCACATATAAGCAGCTATTTTTATTCATTTAATATAATAAGGTCAACAGGAACGAAAACTTTGGAATCAAATAAGTCGGAATACCTGGGCGGTCATCATAGAATAATACGTGCCCTTAGCCGAAAAAGCATAGACAAATAAAAAAGTGAAACAATAGCAAATACCTCATCATTGGTCCATTGGTTTTTTCAAGGGTCTAAATATCCCATTGATATTAGTGGACACAGAAAATTAATCTATATTCAACTATGTTTTTAGTTTTTCAAAGAAAGAGGCAAGTAAAAAGGGGGGCGTTAGTATACAGTTTCGATATATTTGCTCTATGAAAACAACATGAAATACAGTTAGATCACTTCTCGTAGATTTCTCACTTCACCATTCTTTTTAAATATAAATTCAGTTAAAAATTATTTTTTCTGTCAAACAAACAAATAAATGACGTGCAAATATTTTCACCATATAATAATCTTTTTTTAAATTGAAATTTCATCAATTGAAAAGAAATAAATTCTATTTGACAAAAAAAAACAATGTAGCAGAAATATTCAAGAATTCAAATCATTTAAAAACATTACTACATGGCACAAACCATCTAAAAAAAAATTTCCTCTATAACCACGAAATTATTGATCAATAATCAATAACAAACATAATATTGTATTCAATAATTTAAGCAGAAATAATCATAGACAATTTCTACTCAATTGATTAGATTGACTTTAAATCTTAAATGATAATCTAATGCTGTTTCAATAAATATAATAACATAAAGTATATAACCATAACGAAAAAAACTATTAGCTAATTCAATTAATATACAATCATCTGTATTTGAACTATTTAGAACTGCACAATGTAAACAATGAACAGCTTTATTATATGAAGATTTTCAGTAAAAATCTCGACTTAAATAAATATTCGAATGATGATGTTCGATTATGATTTAATTGACCATAATGTTTGTTTATTATTATTTCATTATATTAACAATATCTATTATTTGTTGTTCATCATAATGTGTTGAAATACTTGGTAAATGATCAAATATAACTAGACCTTTAGATTAAGAAAACAAATATTGAAATCAAGAATATAAAGAAAAAAAAAAAGAAGAATTCTATCTACTTCTATTTATATGACAAAATGATTGCATATTACAATATTTCTATTAGATTTTTTATTAATTGATTTATTATTTGAAATAATATATGAAATCCATTGGAAAGATTCCTTTTCAGAATTGAAAATATTAATCATTGACCATCATCTATAAAATCATTAGATTTATCATTATTTTCATTTTATTTTTTGTTTTAATATAATATATTAATAAAATAGTTGAAAAGGATGTACTGTGTCTATGAACATTAATTATTTTCTTCTGTAGAATAGAAAAGATAATGATAATGTTTAGTCATTTTCATTTGTCAATTTCTATTGGTTAATATCGGCATTAACAGGTATTTTAAGCCGGACATCAATGACGATCTCGTAAATCCGACTTGGACTAACAAATTTAATATCACTAAAGTTTCTGATTCCCTAAATCAGTGAAAACATTGTTTATAAGAATTGTTGAAAAAGAGGCAAGACATGTGGCGCCTCAACAATGTGCATTCGAAGGAAAAATGACGAGACTGAATATTTTGGCTACCACTTTTCGATTTTTTATTTTTTTTTCAAAAATTTTCTTCACAAGCCACTTTGAAAAATATTTTCTCTATATGAACTAATGAAATTGATAAATGAAGATTTTCTAAGTAATTCTATCTATCTTCAAGAGGTTCTTTCAACAGTATTCGATTGATCGTTGATAGGTCCAATTTGTAATCTCGTTGATGTAATTAGAGTCAATATAGAATTCTAGCAGCGCTTTTTCTATTATTAGTAAAAATAAATTCTTAAACAATTAGTTGAATTTTTATATTCTTTTCTATCATTCTATACCAATCTTAAAAGATTCTACATGTCATAGGTATAGTTTTCCAGCAAGCTTACAAAAAAAAGAACAGCTCTGAAAAAAAATTTCATATAGATTCATCTCAATAGAGATAAATATATTATCATTGTTATGCTTATGAGATAATTGTAAATGCTCTAAATAACAAAATTATTCAGAATGGTCAGTTCAATAATCATAAAACTTCATTATGACAATTAGAATATCTTTTGTCAGTTCGCGTTACAGTAGGAACAAAGTTGTACCATATTGTCTACAGTTATTGATTTAATTCTGCTAATATATCAGTTTCGAGTTCAGTTAATTAATGCAGAAAAAAAGGACTCAATGATTGATTCTGAAACAATATTCTACAATAGCATCTGAATTTGATGAAAATCTTAAGTGTGAAATGAGAACGACACCGACATCAATAAATTAATCGATCTTGATGAATTGAATGTGCCTAGGAAAACGTACTTTCGTCGAAAATTGGTTCATTCTTTTCAATTCTCAAAATGTGCTCACTGGATACAAAGTATTTAAATCTATATATTAACTACAAAAAAATGAAAATTTTGGATCGGGGAAGGAGAGTCACCTTAAATAGATGAAGGCGCAGAAAAATCATAAAATAAAGAAATTCTTTGTTTGGGATATAGATTAGAGATGGATGAGTCGCTCTACTACGCTATCTTCCCTCCTGTCCTGCTATGAACAGCATCGTAGCGCTTTCTCTAGAATCCTTTCTACTAAAATATCGTGAAATTAGAAAAAAAGAAGAGTGACTTTTATTATTCGCAGTCTTCATTTAGAAAGAAAATATTTATATTTCGATAACTATTTTTCGTTTTACTTCACTCGACTTATAAACGAAGCTAAAGTTACTGATGGAAGAATGATCAACTTATTACATGACAATCCAGCTAGATAAATGACGAAGAAACAACGCATATAAATGTGTTCAACATCTTGAGCAAAAACGAAATCATATAAAGCGAACATTTTACGTACTTTGTTTTCGTTGTTTGTCTAATTAAGAAAGAACATTTGTTCAAAACTGTTGACTTAAGATTTATCTGTTGAAGAAAATCTATGTTCATAAAGACATTAAATTGAAAAATGTCAATCTACCAAAACTTTCTTCGTAAATCTGGACAAATGATTATAATCTTCTTTTTGGTTAGTCATTTTTTGTCTAAAAGAAAACGTTTGTTTAACTTGAAGGATTTTTTTAGAAAATATTTTCACTTTTTCTTTTCTATTTAATTAAGTTAAAGTGTAGTTCGATAAAAGCGTTTATTAAAATGAAAATAAAATTACAGACTCATATTGAACCAAAAAAAGCTAAATGAACTAGTGAAGTACAACAAATATCAGCAGATACCTATTTAACATTTTTCCAACATTCGATACTTTATTTAATAGTTGAGCGTTAACATAAATTACGATATATACAAAGTAATGAGTCGTTGTTCTAATGACTCTGTAAAATAGAAATTTTTAATTGTCGTTGTTTATATGATTGAAAACGAAGTTATTTGAATGACATGTAGAAGGCTATTTCCATGGAAGTTTCAACCACGTTTATATCGAATATCATCAAATCCCATGAAACTTTCAGGGATTGTAGACCATAGTGAACCATTAAAATCCTACAGACCAGTTTTTTAAATTGCGATAATAAACAGGGACATGTCAAGCACAACATTTCCATGGTTTTTGCCTATAATCATGAATATTAGGATTTTATCGAACGTGATCTTATACAAGAATCTTTCAAGTTAAACGCATAAAATATTATATATATTCTGATAGCTCATGATCTAGACTACATTTTGACTACAAAATCTTATTGTTTTGTTGATACTTTGACCATGAGTTGCCTAATTTGAATTCGAATATAAATGAACAACTTACTGTATAACATCAATTCGAAAATAAATGGCAAACGACACACACTCTGTTAATTCAGGATTTTAGGAATAGATTTTCTTTTAGTTATACAGAACTATAACTCATACATAGATAGGCATAGTCATGGAAGTTTAGGAATTAGGAATCGATATTCTTTTAGTTATATAGACATATAATTCATAGATAGTTAGGCACAGTCATGTTAGTTTAGAAATTAGGAATAGATTTTCTTTTAGTTATGTAGAATTATAACTCATACAGAGGCATAGTCATGTTAATTTGAGGGTGTGAGAGTGAGAGGAAAGCAATGTGAGAGGAAGCCAACCGATACGGCAGTTGAGGGTGAGAGCAAAATACTGTGAGGAGGAGAGCCAACCCCACAGGGCTAGCTGAGGATGTGCCAACACTCTGTGAGGGGGACCAACACCACGGGGCAGCTGATGGTGGGGAAAAACGCTGGGCGGGGCAGCAGTAATTGGGAAGGGGAAGAGGCTG